AACAAGCGCACCAAGGAAGCAAGACCTGAAGACTTTGTGCCAGACTGGAAGAGATTTTACGCAGGGCGCGTCACTCATAGAGGTACATTTTGAGATTAAACTTTTTAAATATTCTTTACGAGATCTTCCATTCTACAATGACTGATGCGATTTCATATGCAAGTCTCAGAACGGTGGGCTTTTTTAAATCTTTTTTATTAGTAATAATAATATACAGGGGTGTAGCTGGGTGGGGTGTGGGGAGAGGAAGGGATCTTAAGGTGGGAGGGAAGAAGACTCCTAAAGTAAGTGGACGGAGGGAGGTCCTAAGGTGCCCGTGACTGACCTTTGTGGGATAGTTTGTTGTTTGTTTGCTTGTTTTGACGTTAATCGCAGGCAAATCTCATAATTCAGTTTGAGAAAACGCACAAATCCCAAGAGTCTAGGTCCTAATGCCAGGTGCCCCATTTGTTGGTCCTTCTCGCCTCATGACTACGAATCAGTGGTATAAGCCACTTAGCATAAGTCATGTGGAAATTAGTAACTGTGTATCCTCCCCTTTAAAAAATCCCAGTGGCGCCGCAGTCATCGTTAGTGATAACGTCAAGGTATTTGTTACTCTCACCTTTGTCGTTATCGTTTCGTATCTTCAGTATTATTTCTGTTTCCCTTATCATTTCAGGCTTTATAAATAAGGAGAGGTTGTCCATTTAGCAAAGAAAATAGATTCAAATTTCAGCATTTCAGTGGCCTGGGTAGTAGGAAAAAGTCAAAGTGGATTTTTTTAACGCTGAATGTGAAATTGATACTCATAACTGTTCTCTTAATTCATAAGCGGCAACGTTCAGAATACGTGGTTATGATAGTAATCATATTTTGTCTTTTTCTTGACACAGTTCCTCTCGGAACCATTAGAGAGCTTCCAGCAGAATCGTGCTATGAGATCACAGCCAGCGAAGGAAATGAGGTGGTTAAGAGGAAATACTGGATATACTCTGATGGGAATAGTGGGGTCATCGAGGCCTACTGTGAAGGTAAAATTAGTTTAATCCCACTGCCTTCTTGATCATGATTTTTAAATTAATGTAAAAATTTCCAGAAACGTCCTCTTCTACTCAATTGGTAGCAATAAGCTTCCTTTTCAAATTTAGTTATTGCAAGAAAGAATAAAACAAGAAGTTGAAGATCTGTCACGGGCGAGAGATAAAGAAAACGTTGAATCCCTCATGACATTAGAATCCGAAGTTCTTCCTCTTTTACTTTTGCTCTTTAGCAACTTCCTTGCGGAGGACTCATAGGAGGGCGGGTCAGGGGACTGGGTAAGACCCTGGGCCATTCTTTGCGTTCCTATGTGACAAACGGCCCAGCATATTCCGAGGATATGCAATGTCAAAGTCTGAGTCCTCTGTGACGAGTCGAACTCTTGCAATTGTCAATTAGACACTGCAGTGTTCTCAAGAAAAAGGGTAATAATCAAAATACATTTAAAATCCAGTCATAAAAGAAGAGATCACCTGTTTGAGTTGAGGCTGCTTGTAATCGGATTGGTGAAATTGAACAATTATACAAAAATTAATAAAAGTAACAGAGCAGTTACTTCCATATATCCCATTTCAGATGGCTGGCAAAAAATTAATGGCGAAAAGCCTGTCTGCTTTGGAGCCAAAGATAACGACTATGGTGCCTTCAACATAACAAAGAGTGGACGAGTGAAGACAATGAAGCTTATTCACAAGTCAGGGTCGGTGCACTGCAATCCTTCAACTGGCGCATCTTATTGGGGCTGCACAAATTCGTTTCATTATAAAGATAAGTTAATGACAATCGTCACAGATGACAGCAATAACGCCATTCTGCCTCCTGTTGAGGACATCGAAAGATTAAAGCCCGGTAATTCTCACCAATGTGGTATCAAAAAACACTTTTACAGTCTTGATGGCGCCAGCCTTAATTCACCACAGCTCAGTTTTCGCAACCTTTCAAATCCATTCTCTGTGTCTAGCGGTCAAGAGATGCGGATATGGTATGGACAGGATTGGAAAGACTGCTCGGAAAATGACGGTAACAAGGGCAAAACCTGTGTTGATGTGTACGCATGGTATGTTTAAAAACCAAACTAGACGGTACTCTTGGCTTATCTGACATTCACAAGAATGACTGAGATCAAATCAAACGCTTCTCAAAGGACTTTGATGGCAAATAACAACCTCATCATATGTTCATATCATTCATATAGTGAAACCTCTGTTAAAATGTAAGGACGAATATGTCTGTAAAATTGGATGCCTGAGCACTCTATTTATCTCTGGATTCGTGCTTAAACGATCACGATCCACCAGATATATGATTATCGATCATAGTAAGTTAGTTAGAACATCGATCGATTGTTAAAGGACTTGCGTCAGTTTGGTGTAATAGGATTCTCAACAATTTGTAGTTCAATAGAGATAGAAATGTTCATTTTAATAAACATACAACTAGTCAAACCAGATAGTTAACTATCAGGAAACTCAGTGTGAATTCTAACGTCTAACACTATCACAACCGTTGAGCGATGGTAACCTTAAAAAAAGCCCTGAACCAGAATTAACCAACACACTTCAGAACACTTCATATAATTTTGAATCTTTGATCGGTCACGTGGGAAAATTATTTTGTGCGTATGACATGCGCGCATGATGTGCGAGTATCAGCATATGTTTACAATTATCACAGGATTAAACTTGAGATCAACGTTGCATGTGAAAGCATGAAGATAATTATTGGCAGATTGTGAGTATCTTGTGACAAATCATCTGATCACATTACATTCTGTAATTCAGATCGAGAGAACTGGGGATGGTAAAGATATTCAACGACAGCCCAAGTAACTGTTCGTTATAGAAAGTACAACTCTGATCTAAGCTGACTTGTGTATTCCGAAGCAAGTAACATCTTGTTCCAAGGGGCGCCATAGTTAATATCTCTCGAGTTGATATAGTCTTATCTTCTGCAGAGCTCTTCCTTACTATAATAGCTCTTTTGCGGTTCACGCTGGAAGAACGCATACTTTTTGTGTCGCCTCTTTCTGTATGCTGTGTTATTTCTGGATGCTGGTTTGAGCACCGTCTTGAACTAGCTACAACTCGCCTCGATTCCTCGACGGCCGAGTTAATTCCTGAAAGGACCGACGTAGACATGCAGATAACTAATTTTTTTCTGCTGGTTTGCTTTTTCACGGTTTACCGCGAATGACAAATAAAAAAATTGTAGACCGTGTTGCGTATTGCATTTTATTGTCAGAGGTTTGTGGCATATGTCTCATCAGCGAAGGTATCGAACAACCAAAGCTCGTTCAAAACGTTCTCTTACGGCTACAAGAGGATGACGAAAAAGATGTGGAGATCAAACTGCTGAGTTACTAGTAAATAACTTTACAAATAGTAGGCTTTATCATAACTCACATCATTATCACAACAATATGGGAACTATAAGAAATATATAACCTTCCATCAGATATTTTAAATCTCCAGATAGCTTTCGATTTTAATCATTTACTGTTCAATTACAAATGTTGAGAAAATGATACATCTTGCTTTTTTTCGATACTCTCACTCTTCTGGTATACACAATCTCTAAATAACAAATACTCGCGCGTTTTCACAAATCGGCGGAGAAAAGAGAATAAAAGGAGGAATTTAGTATTTTTAAACTCCATGGGATGGGAAAAAAACTCCTTCTAAGAATTCGGAGCAGTCGCAAGAGATTGGTACCTTGCAAATCAAATCCCGGACACATGCGAGTTTTTGTGCATGAGCAAATTGTAAAGCACTAAGCGCATATAGCGACGCACACTAGACTCGTCTTCGGAGACAGAAAGAACTAATTAAAACCAAAACAAAACATTTTTCGGGAAAATATTGCGGCGTAATCAAATTCGTACCTGCCTTCCAGAGAAAATCAACTTGACTTGGCAAAGCACTTCCTAACCTTTGCGATATCAATATGGACAGAAAAGAGTGAAAAATGAAAGTGCCAAGACGGACAGGTGATTAATATCGAGCTATCCCCCAAAGTATTCAAGACATGTAGTGACGAAACGGAACGAAACCAAGAATTAGTTAGGGCATCGAGAGTTTACAGAAAAATGCCTAACTGCCTTCAATGCTATCACAAGTTACAAAAGTATTCAGCACGTGTAGGCAAACAAAAACAATTTTTTTATCATTCTTTGTAATCTCAACATGGATAGCAAAGAACGGAAAGAGAAGATTCAAAGACAAAAACGCAATTATCATTGAGGGAAGCACGAACGTATTTTGGCCAGCAGGAAAAAGCTGAGGATGCTGGGAGGTGATTGCGGAAGCGCGTGGAAAAGCGAGGGAAGCAAATTGACGCTACAAGACTAAAGGAAGAACAGAGAAAGGTTGGACGTACTTTTGGAAACCAAGACAGACAATGTGATTCGTTTTTCAAAATGGAAGCATAAGAGTATCTCGAGAGAAAATGATTTTTTTTTTCACAAATGATGACATTTCGAATTAAGAAAAGAAGCAGCGGAAAGAATTCCTCTAATATGTCAATGGATGGCTTTAATGCTAAGTATATTTTTACTGTATGGTCTTTTACTCATGATGTCATTTGCATGTAGTCTTGCGCACATCATTTTAGCTTATTTCAAAACTGAACAAACAACGATACAGAATTTTCCCAACACTTATGTTTATTCTCCTGTTTGAGAATAGACGTATCTTTGCAGGCCCAATTCAATGGCTTAACAGTTTCATCACACTGGGATTAGACAATATATTTTTTGACGCGGAATAAATTAAGTTGTTGGTCGATATTATAAAGCCGCATACTTGATCAGTGACACATACTACTATTTCATTTCATAGGCATGATGTGTGCATGGTCCAATTAGTACTGAATTCGGACTGTAGATTTCTAATCACGAGCCAGAATTTGTTGGCTTTGATTAATTTAAAACGAAAAACGATTTATTGGTAAATAATCAGTGACAATTATGATGACCAAATAGATCTTTTATAGCAATTTAATAGTCTTTAATTGATGATGCTGGAGTTTTATTAGTCGCCTGAACATTTCTGTCTTGCAAAAATTTATTTATACCTTGTTCTTCAAAGCGTCACAAGACTAATCGCTTCAGGAGTTTGTTAAGCTGAATACAGCAAATATATCACATTTAATTAACATTTTACAAGTAATTATCGAAAAGTTCTTAAATAAAACGTTCATGGTTTTTGCACTTTCAGTAAAAGCTGCTTTAACATATTAAAAATGTGTTAATCATTTCTGCAGGTCGTTTACAGTTCTTAAGTTTTCTCGTTGAGCACACTTGCTCGCATAATCTGTCGCCTCTACGAAAATCCCATAGAACACAAATATGTTTTCTAAAGAATCAGTCTTTCTGAGAATGAAGAATTGATTTTTTTCTTCTGCGAATTCTGGCAATCGGGACATTCACTAAGAATTAAAACGTTATAGTCACACATTGGACAACTTTCTTGATTTGTACTCGAATCACGCGAGTTTAAGCTGCAAGACGCAGTGCTTCGTGAGTCTCTATGGTCAGTCAACTGTTCAGACAGATCTCTTCGTGAAGTAATCGTGACAGGGCTATTTGGCAGAGAATGGAAGTTTTTCACGACACTCCTTTGACGACTTAGCGTGGTAGACCCAGTAATATTCTCACTGCTTCGCCGGAGACGTTTCTTGAAGCGATTTTTGCCTCCGTCCGATTCGTTTTCACTTTTTCGCTTTAGTAACGGGTCTATATCGTCATGTGATGAGTAAAGCACACTCAGATGACTCTCGCTGATGCTGCGCTGTCGGCCCTTCAGAAAAGAGAACTTCTTGCGGATAGAATTGCCTTTTTGAGCGCCTGAAGAGCTCTTGGATTTGTCTTTACCTTCTACCTTCTGTCCAATGCCCTCTTCTGGCCCCGAGGTGTTCACCGTGCTAGAAGAAGCCGCTGAGACACTGGGAGCTGTGTTAAACCGAAGAGATCTAACGGTGTCAACAACTGATCGAAGGCGTCGCGTTTTCCTGGGCCAGGCTTTGAGTTCGTATTCTTCTCGATCCTGCCCTGTTTGCAAATTAGCTGGTGTATTTTGTGTGAAAACCTCTGGGAATTCATCGTTACCTCCTTTGTCTCTTCCCATTGATTGAGTGGTACCGCTAATGGATGTCGGGCCTCTACCAATGAGTGGTTCCTTTTCCTCGTTAGGTGAAGAATGAAGCACTCTCACTGGAGTCGACAAAGTGCCGTTGGCACTCAGTAAAAACGGACCTGGCGAAGAAAGCAAATTTTTCTCTGTGAGATGAAACAGGAAGAAATAAAGCTATTGCCAGATGTTCTTAACGAGAGCTTCGTTATTGAATGACTGCGAACTATGAAGTTTGACAACTTGGTGATTCCGTATCTTGACGAAGCGGGAAGAGGGCTATTTTCGACTGGCACATGACAATTGAGATTTCTAGAATTAATTATCCTCCGAATATATTATAAAAGTGATTTTTAAATGGATTTAGCGGAGAAACAAACCTCTGTGCTGTCGGGGCTCACTACTGCCTATGTTAGTATTGGAGGTGTCATCATCTGCCTGTTGTGTTGTTAAATAGATTTGTTAGCACTTTTACATTACATTAACGTATTTTCATCACTCTTCTTTATTTCGTTGACGAGTATATAAATTGTGAGTCTATTCTTAGATTCAAATATTGATTCAGTCTTGGAAGCAAGAAATAGCTTTCTCAGTAGAGGAAGAAAACATTATTAGATCGATGTAGAACTAAGCTTACTGATAACGCGAACGGAAAACATACCTTTGATTTACCTTCCTTTATACTACTCCCAGATAAATCAGAGACAAAATAGAAAGAAACGCAAACCATAAACCCACCCCCCAAAAAATTAAAAATTATCGTCCTACTGTTGAACAAGAAAGGTAGCAAAAAAATTAATAAATTTAGTTTTCCTGTTCTGTGGCTCTAAATCTCTCTCCGCTCTAACGTAAGTAATTCGATTTTTTTTCAAACTTTAGGAGAAAAAGAAGAATACCGTGATCATAGGCAAATATCGGTATTTCATGAACGATAGATCTCTAAAGTACATTTTTCTGTTTCGAAGCTTTATCCAATTCCAATTTTTCGAAAATAGAAAAAACAAAAGCCTGATGACGTCATTGTTCCCCCAATGTCCGGAAAGATCAAACATTTGACTTTAGAAAATTGCATGAGTGATTATGCCTACACTTGGTATTATGTTACATTTTGTATTTCCATAACATGATCTTTCTTACTTGCGGAGGAGTGTATTTGAACGCCAGTTGTAGCTCTCCACTTTTCACCCCGCGCAGCCTGTACCAGCGCTTCTCATAGGGAGGCTATCAAATGACATAATTAAATGTTAAGTGTTCTCAGAGAGCTCTCATTTACTCTACAAGTATATTCGAACAGAGAGACTGAATTGTAATCTAACAGTGTAACTGGAAAGCGAAAGGTCATTCCCTCTGAATGCTGGTGGCTGATTTGTGTTCTCCAGTTTATTATCATTTCAGTTTCGAGCATTCAAAGCTCCCGTACAGGGATACCAAACTGAACCATGTTACTGAAAAGACAGGAAACGCTCAGTCAAAATCACGATTCCGCCACTTATCAAGTTTTTCCTTTTTACTTAAGGAATGAAATGAGGATCGATCAGTTTTGAAAATTTCCTTTCCATGCATTTTATTCTCTACCGGTAATTTTTAAGAATATTGCATTAATATTCTGAAAAGAATTTTAAGAAACAATAAACTGCAAATAAGGAGAAAGCTCAAGTCAGCCTATGTAGTCACCTTTCCTAAATCTTTCAGTTTCTCAGTTGTAAATCCTATCTGTCCCATTCTCTCTTGTGACAATGGATCTTTATCCCACACTTCCTGAAAAAGAAGAGATAAATGTTGGCGAATGATGTGATTTTTCTTGGTGAGTTGATATTTTTTCATCCAGGTTGATTTGCCCAAGCACAAACTTAGTATATCTAATTGATATAAACCTATAGCGGAATAGTGTGTACCTGAGTACACACTATTTATTTTTTTAGGGTTCTTTTATTTTTCCTGGGTTATTACTTGAAGGCTTCTCTTGTCTCCTTGAAAAATATTGCCCACGTTTATAAACATATTTTGATCTACTTTTTAATGAGAGAAGCAAAGGAAAAGGCAAACGTTGAACTTGAGTTGCATTCTCATTTTAGTTATATGTGCATCAATGTGAAAATAAAACAACGAAATAAGTTTGATGCCCATGTCTGCAGAGGACTTCACTAGTTCTAAATCAATGAAAAATCGAAATTGAATAAAAAATAAAAAATAAAAAACGGCTGAATCGAGTTCAAGCCAAATCTTTCTCACCAGTAACAGGAGTCCATTCACATCGGGCATCGCTACAACAGCTGTCTCACTCCAAACGGGTTCCAACGTGTTGGTGATGGTCCGTGATCTATATTTCTCTCTTCCTTCACTTCCATCCTTTACTGTCACAAACGGATCACTTTTACCTGTAGACAGAGAAGCTGAGAAGCTTTTCTAGGGACATGGAATATTTTTGCATTTTTCCACGCTTCCAATCACTCTTCCAAGTTACAAAATGTTGCATCACATAGTCTACTCGCGTTGGTCGCCCCTACTTTTCATTACCACCTACTCTTGCTTTTTGCTAACTTCGTGTTCGGGTGGCATCTTAAATTATTCCCTTTGTTTACAGAGTAGGGTAATTACTTCCAGTCACTTTGTAAGACCTTCAATGTGCTGTTCACTGGTCACTCAATTCAGCAAGAAGCAAAGTTATGGAAATCTACAAAACAGTTGTCTTGGCATTATCCTTTGTCAATTTCCACGAGGTAAAATCAATCGTCTTTGTATTTTATTCTGTTCAAGGTTCCGTCAATCCTAAGCCTTTCAATTCTCATTCTGAATTGTGGTATAAATACTTAAAAGGCTGGTTTCTCCAAGAATTCTTCGATGTCATTTGCAGAAAATATAGTATTTTGAAGGTCTCCGTGAATTTTATCTTACCAGTAATATCTTTAACTACCAGATTACGTCCCTGGTAAATGTTGATTTCGACGCTTCCTCGTTCTGCAAATAAATTTATGTATATGAATAAACCTTGAAGACCGTTTCAAGTCAATATCAATAGTCCCACTTAGCATTAGTGGCTCTCTTCGTAGACCAACATCCATCAGCTAAGATGTCACCTTGAAACACTTTGACGTACCTGCACGCAGCAAAGCCTCTAGTGTCTGTATCTCAGTCTTAGCATCCTTCTATATATTTGGGAGAAGTAAAGTTTAATATATCCAACTCTCTTTCATCCCAACTTAAAGGGAAAGTCAGTTCAGGAAAGAAACTTACTTGACCAGGAGGTTCTCCTTCTGGTAGACCTTGGCCATTTTCTTTCATTTCTAACGAGAGAAGAAACAAAATGTTGAATGATGCAAACTCAACCGACGTGAGTAAAAATTCCGGGGAAATATCTGAATTGAGATTTAACTTTTCTACGCATGAAATATCACGTATTCAGCTTATTCGGTCTGGCTTCTGCATATCATCCACGATGCCCAATATAAGTCTGTAAATGTACTTAATCGACCTCTACCCTCATGGGGCATTTCAGGGTAAATATAATTCAGTGAATAAATGAAGGAATGAATGAATGAGCTGCCAACTGGCAGGAGGCAGATTAGTTGGCTTTAAGCAAAGCACAGTCTAGGAGTTGAACTCAGGAAAAATGAGAACAAATCCAGCGATTAGCAGCTGGAAGGCTTGGACCCGGACCATCAGAGTGCTTCCTGTGCAAGTACAAGTGAAAATGCATGTATATGTGGCATAACAATTCGAGTTATGTTTATTTTTAGGATGATTACTATTACTCTTATTATTATTACTATTATTATTACTATAATTTAATTGTTTTTTGCCAATTTTATAAAACTCGGATTTTACGGTTTTAGACTGCAAGGTACAAAGAGCCCCGCTGTGTAGGTAAGTGTACTTACCAGACTTGGCCACCGATGGAGCAGGTCTAAAAATGGCGGACACACACAGCTTGCCCGCCTTCATCATTCCAGAGCCTTTAACTTTATACAGTAAGTCCAGGTTTTTCTTAAATAGCACAGGTGATACCTGGGAACGAAAGAGTAAAAAGAGTAAGAAAGGGCTCCCAGTGTTCATCGCTTCATTCAATCAGTTCTTCAAAAATAATTTTAAAAAATCATAAAAGT